CGGGACCTGAACCTGTTCAGCCTTCAAAAGAGAAGGGTGAGGGGGGATCTTGTGGCCTGTTATAAACTAGTCAGGGGGGATCAGCAGGCATTGGGGGAGTCACTGTTCCCCTGAGCACCGCCAGGAGTGACCAGGAATAACGGTCACAAGCTGGCAGAGGGTAGGTTTAGGTTAGACATCAGGAGGCGCTATTTCAACGTCAGGGCGGCTAGAGTCTGGAACCAACTTCCAAGAGAGGTGGTGCAGGCTCCTACCCTGGGGGGTTTTAAGAGGAGGTTAGACGAACACCTTGCTGGGGTCGTTTGACCCCAGTAATCTTTCCTGCCATGGCAGGGGTCGGACTAGATGATCTGCTCAGGTCCCTTCCGACCCTAGAAACTATGAAACTATATAAGCACCAGGAAAAACCAAAATAAAGTAGCATGAATGCATTTGCTTACTAGGTTCAGATTCATCATATCTACAGAGTAGCAGGGCAAGTCATCCAGTGTGTTCATAGGGGGAAGGAAGGGGCACATACAACAGACATACAGGAGGGTCTTGGGAAGAGGCTAACCCAACTTTGCATGAATACAAAAAGATTACTCAAATAAATCAGTCTTTACGACAGCACATGTAAGGCAATTAAATTTAACATCCTCTAATAAACCACCATTACTTGATTAGGAAAAAAAACAATAAATATAATGTTTTATTTTTTTTACTATAATCAAAGTTATAGCAGGGAGAAAAGTGCTTCCTCCACGTTACTGATTATCCTGTGCACTATCAGGACACAAACTTAGATTGCCAACACCAACTTTAGTGACTATCTCAAATTACTTAACAATTCAGTAACAAACAGTTTGGGCAACCTCTTCTAAAACCCATTCCCAAGGTAAGAAGCAGATTAAATTAATCTCTCAGCCCAGGTAAGGGATAGGGGTCATTTATCTGATGATGGTATGCCACTACACCAGGGCTAGGCAATTATTTTGGCTGGACGGCTACTTAATGAGTTTTGGGGACCTGTTGAGGATCACATCCATCTCTCCCCTCCTGTTTCTCTGTCTCTCTCTCCCCAGTCCTGTCTCCTGCCCCTCCCCATCCTTGCAGAACCTGCCAGAGATGTAGTTAGCCGCAGTAGGCGGGTGTCAGGTGTCAGCGTCAGCTGTGGATGCTGCCGGTAGGTTCAGAAGCATGGACACAGAACCTGCCAGCAGTGTCCCACAGCTGATGCTGACGCCCTCCTGGCACAGTGGAAGCTCCCGCCCAGAGCCCCAACCTGGTGGCATCAGCTGTGGACCCAGGCACAAGCTGCTGCTATGCTGGGTGGGTGACGGTTTCAGCTGTGGCTACAGCCAGCAGGTTCCAGAGCCCTGCCACAGAACCTGCCAGTGATGTCCACAGCTGATGCTGCCATCCGCCTGGTGCAGTAGCAGCTCCTGCCTGAGACCACAGTTGACGACACCAGCAGGTTCTGGGTTGGGGTAACAGGTGGGAGCAGTGACAATGACCTTTTTGTTACACTGTTTCTAGTAAAGGCCCTGCAGGATTGCAGTATCATTAGAGTGCATGTAATTTCATGTGTGCTATTAAAATAACAACTGCAACTTTACAGAAAAAGTAAAATTATCTTGAGAACTTGTTGCTTATGAAGTTACACAAGTCCTCCACAAGGTAACACCTCTCTCTAAATTTGGGAGTCAAGAAGGAATTTTCCCCCCTAGGCAGGTCTGCACAAGGATTAGCAAGGGTCTTTACCCTCATCAGCAGCATGGTAGAAGGTTGAATATATTTCTATTGAGAATTTTGCCAAAGAAGAGAGAGTATACCAACATATTACTGTCCTGAGAAGCAGAGGGAATACTACAAGGACAGTAGATTGATTTAATCAAGAAAAAACAATATAGGTAGCTCTATTTCTGCAAACACGCTTGTTAACAGTAACTTAAACATCAGCTTAAATACAAATTAACTTTGTAGTTTTTTTTTTACCACTTAATGCAACATTAAGGCAATTCTGTCCATTCTCCTGTGTACCTACCAATTTGAAGTAATAATAGCCTCTGATATGAATAGGTGTTACTCATGTGACTAGTTTGATATAGCAACTGTATTCTTAATCCCCTAACAATAAAAGCTCAAATACAATTCAGAGCCTCTGTCCTTGTTGCCATTGCAAGAGATGAATACAAAATATGCAAGTCCAATATCACCAGGGAAACAAACTGACAAATGGAGTATACTTTTAAAAATATATATTTTAATATATTGTTAAAAATTCAATAGGTTGTCTATAGGACATTAATGGATGGTTGTTAAATGTAATTTCCACTACAGAATGTCTAACCTCCCTAAACTACTTTTCTAACAAATCAGAGAATTTTCTTTATTTAGCAACACCAACCCACTACTTTAAGTGCTCCCTACATCATTCAGATCAATAGAACTGGGCCAAAAACAACTCTGCTAAAACAAGTACACTTCAAGACTGTTAATCCAGTTGTATGGATTCAACTTTCTATTACAGAACTAATCTTTGTTTTTCTACATAGCTAAAGGTCACCTGGCAATTATAAGAAAATCATCCTAATTGACACAGTCTTTAGGATGGTATTCAGCTATGCAAGTTAAGTCTTAATAAAATCACTGAAAAGGTTGGGCATTGGATAAAACAGAAAATAGTCTTTACAGTTTTTGGCCAATTTTTTTTTTGGGGGGGGGGGGGGGGGGGGGGGGGGAGGAGAAA